CATCAGAATAAAAGAGTTATGGTAACATTCAATCTAAACATTGGGAAAAAGGCAAATAGGAGCAATACAAACAAGCAGAAATATAGAAGAATGGGGTCAACATGAGGAAATATAAAAATACCATCATTGTAAACACGAGGGAAAATAAAAAACAAATATAATGTAAACAACAAATGCATTCAGCAGCTGAGTCTACCAGAATCCATTGAAATATTGAAATTGACAAAGTTTAGCATACAGACTGAAAGTGGAGGAAAACAAGCCTCTGCAAGTTTAAAAAAAAAAAAAAAAGCTCTACCTCCAGCACCTCCAAACTTTGCTGTATAACAAAATAAGTTACAACAATATTTTCTTTACACATTTTTCGGGGTTAAATATACAGTGGCAAGAAAAAAAGTAATCTATGGTTTGTTAGTACTATGGCTGCTGTCATTTGATTTGTATTTTGACCCTTTGAGGGCTGAACTCATTGTGTTCATCAACTTTGATCTTATCGTTTTTCTTGTGTTTGGTGATTGAATTTCTTATTTTTCCACTTTTGAGTTCATATATTTCCTTACTTACTTCTTGTCTTTAGTTCCCCTCCCTCGTTGATGACCTACCTTGCCCTTAACTAGTTTCACCTGTCTGGTTAACACTGTGCACGCCGTGTTGGTTCACTACCAGTTTGTCTTGTCAGTTTGTTTGAGTTTTCCACCGTTTTTCCTCCTGATATTCTCCATGTGTTTTACCAAATCATGTATTTTGCACTCGCCTGCAGCCTTTTAAGTTTCTGGATTCTACTGCCAATCTGTTCACCTGCTCGTAAGTCAAAATTAAGACTGTTCATTGGATCTTTCCTTGTTTTTGCATCTGCATTTGGGTCCTGATGGATACTTTGCTTAGATTTCCCTTAAGGTCGAATGCAGCTGTTCAAAGATGGTTAAGAGAACCTCGGAGTAGCAGCTCAAGGCTTCGTTGGAGCTGGTTAACATCTCTGTTCATGAGTTGTAACATGTACATCATGTATGTGAGAACGAAGAGGCTCTTCTCCAAAATAAACCCATCACTGGGTGCTTAAAATTTCCCAAAGAGCAGCAGGAAACTCCACAGTGCTACTGGGGAAAAAAAACTTTGTGTACATAAGAATAAGAAGGCCACTGCAAACCAAAGTAAAAAAAGTGATAATCTCAGCAGTGACGTTCTGGTCCTGGACAGCTCGACATCACTCGACTCGAGGATGTTCACTATAGCTGAAGATCAGATGTTTGGTGATAAAGCAGAAGAATGACCTAAAACAACAAGATAAATCTACTACAGAACGACCTTAAACACAATCTGCCTTTTACTGGGGACTGGTCAGGGTCTGAACCCTACAGAGATTGTGTGAAATGAGAAAGTTTATCACACCAGGATTGGAATAATGTTCTGAATGTTCCTCCTGAGTGTGGTTCAGTTCTGATCCGTATCTGCCAGAAGCTCTTGTTTGAGGTTATTGCTGCCAAGGAAGATTCAACCAGTTATTCAGCCAAAAGGTTCACTCCTTTTTTTCCAGCTGCATTGTGAATGTTTAATGGCTGTGAAAGATTATAATTGTCTGTGCGTTATTACCTTATGCACATATTTTGGCCAACTCATGCAGAAAACCAGATAATTCAAAAGGGTTCATACTTTTTCTTGACACTGTATATATAACGTATAATGGGTAAATTAGTAAGGTGCTGGAAGACAGAGCAAGGCGAAGCTAGCTGTGCTCCCTTCAAACTTTTATATGTTAAGTTTCTAATATATTAACCTATCTGTAAAAATATTTAGACTATCTATCTAATCATTTCAGGAATCTTTGTCAGTATGTGGAACGCTTATCTCATGACTTCACACTTGGCATGTGTATTTTTAAGGGCCTAGGGCAGTGCAGTGTCAAATTTGGTGCAATATGGTCATGTGATTTTCTCAATATCAATACATTTTGAATAAACAGGGGACTAGCGCTCTGTCGTGGTGTTATTTTACAGCTCAAAACACAAATATCTCACAAGTATCTCTTTAACATTCCCAAAGATACATTATCAAGACCTTGTGTGACTTTGAGAACATGGAGGACTCTAGTTTAGGCAGGAAACTTTAAAATGGAAATATGAAAGGTCAATTTTTTGTTTTAATCTGTCCAGCTCATACTACCAAGCTAAAAGACGGAGCTAGTGTCACTAAGCCATGATGGGTTGTTCCTGAAAAGGCTGAACTACTCTTACCACGAACCATTATCGAATCTAAAACAAAACATAATGTCGGTGAGTAAAGCTTTTACTTCTCTACCTCATAGAAATATAGCAGCCTCCAAAACACATCAAATCACATTTAGCCTCCCTGAGGCCAACCACTGCTCCAGGAAAATGACGTTTGAGGGGGAAAAATGGATCCAATATTATCTGTGAAAAAACAAAGCATCTATAAAAAGGAGAAAAAGATCAGCTGAAACATTTGCTTCCTGCAGGTGGTGAAAGTATTAATATTGTAGATTGCAAAAAGGACATGTTTTCGTCCTGCTGCCATTATTTCACTGCCTCTAGAGGGGGCATGTTGGTGTGCATGGAGCTGCATGCCTGCTAAAGATTTCAGAGATGGGATTTTTTGGCGTTTGTTTGTTTATTTGTCTGGCTGGCTTTTTGTTTCCAACACAGAGATTTGTGGACACTTACTGGAGACCAGAATGTGCAAATCACCCAATTGCCTTTTCCCAATTAGTTTGGAAGAGTTTAAAAATGGAGTTTCACTCTCTCAGCTCTGATTTTCTTGTTAAGTTATTGTGAATTTTCGATTAATCTTTCCAAGGAAATCAATTTCAGTCAGATCACTCTTTGAAATGCAATAGAGAGCATGAATGGAGTGTGTTTCTTGGCCGTGTAACTGCTTCCGATGTATATTTCATATCCTACTCTTTGTCTCGCTAGAAGAATTCAATACAGCCTTTAAAATATTTACCTGGAGCATTGATGGCATCCATTGTCAAATAAAATATGTTATCTTTCACAGCATACGGACAGAGATGAGCGAGGTGCACCAGAACATGGGCTATTGTCCGCAGTTTGACGCCATTGATGACCTGCTCACTGGACGAGAACATCTGGAGTTTTACGGCAGGTTGCGAGGAGTGCCAGAGCACGAGGTCACCATGGTAACCATTCATTCCTCTGCTACTACTTGTCCGTGTAGATTTTTTTAATCTTGAAGCGAGATACCAGGAATATGAGTAACATTGGAAAGCAAAGATGTACGTGGTCAAGATTATGAGAATATTTGAATTGTTTTTTATTTGTTCTTTTTTAAACCACGGAATACTAATAATTTTCAACTAGAAGGCGTGCAGGGCGAAGCTGAAGCACGTGTCAAATTGATAGATAACCTCCATTGGAGAAGCCATACATAATGAAAAATGGCCAGTGGTAGAGAAGCAGCAGCTGTGGGTTATGACTCTACATTATTCAGCATGCCTAGTGGTGTGGCCTGCCCTCTGCGGCCTCCCTGCACTCCTCCCGCACTGCACACTTCTACAACAGTGAGATCAAACGAAGGAAGACGCTGCCGGCGACCTAAGGCCTTAAACTCGGCGCTGGGGCTTTGATCTTGTAGCTGCGACCTGATTTTGTGCTGCTAGCATAACTCTCGATATTACGGTGGCCCATTGTGATATCGCCGGTTTGGTGGCAATCCTGCATACAACAAATGTATCCACATGTATGCGCAAGGAAAATGAAATGCAGGTCTGCACCCAATGTGAGACATCAACATGTAATTTGAGACCTGGCGATATTGCACACACGGGTGTTGCCCCTGATTGTTTGACAAGACATTGTTGAAATAGCAGGGGGAACAGTAAAGCACCTCAGCAGCCTGTGATTAAGGTCCTACAGTGATGCCAGCTGTCATGCTTTGTCCTTGAAAGCCACGGAGCTTAAATCCGTAGGAGATCCAAGCCAAAAAATTCACAGCAGAACAGAGAGAACCCTTTCTCTTTTTCTCTTCAAAAGGTGGCAGAGTGGGGGATCCAGAAGTTGGGGCTCGTCAAGTATTCCAACAAATCAGCGGGAACTTACAGCGGCGGGAACAAGCGCAAACTTTCCACCGCCATAGCTCTGATCGGTTGTCCTCCAGTCATCTTTCTGGTGAGCTACAGCTTCATTGATGTCGTACATGGTGAAAATGTGATACGCTTCTGTGTTACTAAGACGTAAAGAGTGTAATACTTTGAATCAACATTTATGTGGTGCAGATGTTGGGATTACAGCAGATCTGTTATTTCTCTCTCCAAACACAGACCTGAGTAAGACCATGATGGAGTGTAGGAATTTATGAAACATATGCTCTCAAAAAAGAGAAAATAAGTTATGGGGGAAATTTGCAAATCCTCCCTGACTTAGCTGGAGGATTACAAGCACATTACTTGTGGATGAGCAGGGTGTGTATTTCAGAGGTCACTTACTGATCATGTTTTAATTCACATTCTCAGGGAAGAACCATAAAACACAGAAGTCGTATGTATTTAATTCATATTCATCAGGACTTAAATCTGAAGGCTGAATAATTCTCTCTAGTGATGGAAGATTAATGAACGCATGACTCAGAATTTATTGCATCACATGCTTTTAATGAAGTGGCTTTTATATGAATAAGGAAGTTATGGGGGCTTTGAGGACTCCCTGAGTATGAATTTTCATTACCATTATTGCACATTTGTACTTGCAACCCCAGTTTCACCCGTTAAACCTCATAGTCAAATAAAGCCGAAATATAGAATTGAAAATCAACATTTTTTTTTGTCAGTTCGTACCCTCAAATAACCTTAAACGTCAAACAGATTGGTTTTTATATATGTTGCATGTAAACAGTAGTAAATGCATGACTTTGCAGAATCACAATTATTTCCATTTACTTTACAACCTTTAGATAAACTGAATAAATCATTGAGGGGTGACGCTCAACAACATAGAGTCAAACTCAAACTATTTCAGAATATTTCAAAATCAGCCTAAATAAAACCTTAAAATGCCAAATAAGATATAGTTGTGCTAAATATTACAACTAAAATAACTAAGTGCCAAAATGTTAAGTAAACAGATAAAACAATTGCATTTGGAATTTGGAAGGATTTACATCACTAATAATGCCCCTTCTAACAATTTTCATCATGTAATGATTATTCCATAATAAATGACATTTACTGAATTATCTCTCCAGCCATTTCTGTTTCCTGGCTCAGTTTACAGGCTGCACAGCTCCCCTATTCCAAACCTCCTTATTTACTCGGCTGAGCATGGCCAGCCTTTACTTTGAGACAGCGGGATAATGTGTTGTCAGTGTCTGTGTCAGTTTCAGCATTGTGCTCGATCCCAGGGAGCCCAGGCGGCCTTGAGGCAGTGCCACGTAGGGTTTGCACAGGGACACATTGGGCACAGTGATGGAAATGCCCCATGGGATTTGTAGGATTCTGCTAGTGAGGGAGAAGCAGGCCTGGAACAAAACCAGGCAATGGACAGAGTACTGTCACTCTCTAATCGTGCATGGACAGACTGGCCCTGAGGAAAATGAAACAGCAAGTCACTGTGTCACTGTGTGTGTGTTTCTGTGTGTAGATTGCTTCAGAATATGTCTCCATTGTGTCTGCATGTGTATATTCTGAATCACTCGGATGTTATCTATCTACTGAACCTGTGTGTTTTATGTCTCTTACATCCGTCCATACTGTCTCTCCTCTCTTGTGTGTGTTCACTTACACAGATGGATGACAAATTAAATGAACATTAAGCATCCTATTAATGTACTGGTCTTAGTCTTCTGGCCTTTACTGGATACATTGTTCAAGTTATTCCCTCTTATGATGTTGTAATGTAATCACATCTAATATCGATACAATAATCCACAGTTTTCAGTTGTGTTGACATTTGTTCACTTATTTATTGCTGCTCATTTTAGCAGGAGGCGGAACATGACGTATAGATTCTGCTGCCACACGGGCATCGGCTCTTAATGCAAAAGCCCTCAAATCTCATTGTCTTTCCACCTTTTTTTGTATCCTGAGATATAAGTCTTCTAGTTTTGCCTCCATCTTGAGTTAGAAACATCATTAATACAGCCAGTAGACGTCCCATGATGTCCTACATCCCCCCCAGAAAATGTGCGAAAGTAATATCTAATGGAAGCTGTTTTAAGAGTAACTGTTTATTGCAGGATGAGCCGACTACTGGGATGGATCCTAAGGCCCGCCGTTTCTTATGGGACTGCATCCTGAGTGTCATCAGAGAGGGACGCTCAGTCATTCTCACTTCACACAGGTGAATAATCACTCTTTATCTGTCGATCGTCTCCTAGGATTCAAACTTCACTCACTCAAATGTTTGGACTTGTCACAGAGAAAGCAGAGACACCAAATTGTCCATAAACTGAATGTGCGCTGTCAATATCCCAATTATAATTGATTTGAGTTCCACTGTAGTTGAAAGATATTGTTTCCTGTGCAGCAGTTGCCATTTGTTGCCAGAATCACATTTACTGCTCGAAAGCTTTCATGAAGCATGAGGGCATATTGACGGACTGGTGCCTTTTTTTTTCCAGCATGAAAAGAGAAAACTGTCAATATCAGCGCTGGAGTCTTTTCATTATCCAAGATTTCTTGGAGCAAAGTTTACTTTCACAACTTTGTTTTCATTGGAGAAAAAATGATTAAATTCCTCATTTCTTTGGTAAAACTTAAAACTTGATGGCCCGAGTAGATATGGAACATTTAACGATTCACATGCCCATTCATGTTCCCAAATTGCCTGAGTGTTAGTGCCATCCGTGTTCCTGGCAGCTCATGTGAATAATCTATGCTGCTGTTTTGTTTTGGAACATATTACCCTCATTACACGTGTTGCCTTCATCGAGAAATAAAAGCAATTGTTGTTGTCCCAGGCAGTGTGGCAGAGCCGCATCCAATTGTCCATGGCACGACCAGGTGGTTGTGTTTTGTTAAGTGGCAGATTCACCAGGTTTTACAAAGTCATAATCCTAATTGTGCAATTCCTCAGAAGGGCCTCACAGGTTTTGCCTCGAATACAAATGACTCCAGCTCCAGCAGAAAAAAATGAGACAATGAGAGTTACAGATGGTCCCTTCCTGTCCCTCTAATGACCAAATATGTTGTCCATTCGAGTATTGAAGTTGACATGCAAGAATGCTGAAACCTAAACTTTAATTTGAAATTAGCAAAAATCTCTATATATCTATAAATGTATCAGTTAATATCAACAAACTAAATCAAGTTGATATAGTCTAGTAGTTGAAGGAGAAGGACAGGCATCACAAAAATCCCATAAATATCCCATTTTCCAAAAATCAATGTTTAGAAAAAAGTGAGTTGGAAGTCGTTGGAAAGAGATAATCCGCAATGTTTTTTTAAGATGCATAGTTTCTTCAGTATTAAAATAATTCCGTACACAGTCTTGCACCATTACCTTTTCCCTTTTTTGAATGTTCTAATGTACTTTTGGACTATATATCTTGAAAACAAAGCACCCGACCCAGTGTTCGAATTTGGAATAAAAAGTGACAGCCTTTGTCTCTAATCTGTAAAGGGACCCAAATATCTGGTTTTACTGCTGAATCTCATTTATGTCCCCTTCTTTCTTTCAATAGTATGGAGGAGTGTGAGGCGCTGTGCACACGCATGGCCATCATGGTTAATGGCAGCTTCAAGTGTCTCGGGAGCATCCAGCATCTGAAGAGCAGGTAAGGGTCCTTGCTTTCCATCCAGTGTATCAAACCCAGAGTTGAATCCAAGAAGAAAGGAAAACACAAAAAATTCTTTGAAGCTTCTTGTATTGAGATGAAAGAAATCCTCGCCTCTCACCGAGGTGCTCTGTTATTTATACTGTATATATAAATAACATGACCGTGTATATTGGCAATAAAAAAACAGTATGATTCAAGTTTTTTCAGGGAAGAAAATAAAATAATGCATATTCTTATTTCACTATTTATTGCTGCAACAAAAACAAGAAGGGCTGTGCATCGTGCCGAGAGAATAATACAATTTATCAACTATACAGCTCTAGCTGAACTTCACAAACTCAGCAATGTGATTATTATTAAAGGAATTGTTTTCGGTAAATATTCTTATTTGCTTTCTTGTAGAGATTCTCTCACTTTACTTTCTGTATGATGAATAGAAAACTATACCTTCCGAAGGCAATCATGACTACTGCATTCCAGCAGTTAACTATTCAACCAGTCGATTAATCATTGGGGAGATTGTTCTTCTGACCCTTGATGTGCGGAGAGAGAGAGGGACATAGGTGGCATCACGTCAAACAGACGCATGATGCATACACATTAAAAAATATCTCTTGCTTTAAAATCACGCATGGCAGAGAGAGGATGCACAGTGTGAAAGATAATCGAGTAGTCTGTGAAACCCCTGTAGCCTTTAAGATTTTAGATTTCTTAAATTTGGAATTGTCTCGATAACATATTAATTTGTTGTGTTTACTTGGACGATTCTAGCCTCGTGTGTTTTGGTTGACGAAGCTAAAGACGTCCCCTCTGTTAGAGTCGACCCATCAACACAATTGCATTGATTTCACATGAAAAGATCCATATATGAAGCCAGTGTGCAGACGGTCTAGTCTGTGTTCCAAATCTCTGGCCATTATCTCAGTTCCACAATTGTTTCCCTCCAGACCCATAAATTCTATTTCCACCATCCCTGTCCTTATGCACACTCCTAATAGGCTTTGTACACGGCTCTTAATGTGTTTTGCTGTGTCTCCATCACAGATATCTCCCACCCTTAACTCTTAGCACTCAGCGCCACTCTCTGATATTCAGCTGACATTTCCCAAGGCCAGCACTTATGCCCCGAGCCCTGCGTGTAACAGTGAGGGCGATCCATTATCTTAGGTACAGTGTGGTGACATTAGTACCACTCCAATGTGTGATCTTGTAAGAGGAAGGACATTACACTCACTGCACACACAAGGACCACACTCACGGCAGGAATATGTGGTGGCAATCGCTGGGTGGAGAGAGAGATCAATGCACCTGGGATGAGGGGTGGAGCAGACCATTTTTCAAGTCGTACAGGGGATTAGGGGAAAAGGCCTGGAACAGCAAGGAGGGGGCAACGGTGTCAAGGGTATTTCCCATCACCAGCTTTAATGTCATATCATTGGCTGTGCTTTTAGATCACTTTGGGGAGTGAAAAGGCTGAAAGGAGAGGGAGAATGAGTGAAAGTAGAGAGGAAAAGGGCTAAAATGGGAGAATGATGTACCAATCAGTGCGTCCCAGATGTTGCAGTAATAGACGGATCCTTTGTGTCGATTACATCCTGCCTGTAGGTGGGAGAGCCGGGTGGTGTAAATAGTTTATGAACCACACGGGAGGTATTGGATAAGTAAGAGCTAAGGGGGGGAGGCAAACTGCAGCGAGGAGAACAGAGGGTTAACACGTGTCCTACTTCACTCTACATGCTATCAGGTAACAGGGAATCGCACTTCACAAGACAAGTGTGTGAGAGGACTCCAGATAAGCATGACGTCGACACCAATTTCTGCCGTGCTTATTTTAGATCTCGCATTGACAATTAACATGCCGCAGAAATGCTATCGCTTAGTTCTCGCCACGCAGTGAATAATTTCTAATTAAGCGTCTCTATCTCCGCAGCGCTTTGTGTAATTAATGTTTCATGAGGTGTGGGACCCTGTTAATGACTGAAAAGGCAATTAAGGACTGTCTCCTCTGTTTTCTTTTCTCGTCACTATCCCACCACATGTTTGTGCTGCCATGTTGGCTCCCCCACCCCGCACGCACCCCTCCCTGTTTTAGTAGCACGTGATCTGCGATCATTTAAGTCGCGCCTCATCAATCCAGCTTTGCACAGGTGAAACGCCGTACGACCAATATTTCACGTTCGCGTCTATAATGTGGTCACAGAGGGGCTGAGTCTCACAAATGCACAAGCTGTCGCCGGTTTGCAGATGGGAAGAGTTCCATCAGTCGGCAGGGGTGTGTGGGGGGGGGCTCAGGCAGGTTGCATGCACCATTGTCAGACGCCGTGAGCAGCTGACCTGCAACGCTGGTGGGGGTCTGCCTCCTCCTCCCACCTCCAACGACACCACCCCCAACTTCTCCATCTCTTTTTCATCACGAGCCCCTGAAAAGAGTGCAGAATCTCACCGTGGGGCAGCGCTCACATTTTGACCCCCCATTGCTCATATGTAATACATGTTCACCCTCCCCCATCACCCCCTCCCAATACTCATCTCCTTGAAAACCCTCTCACCACATTACTCTTATTTATTCCTCCTGTGCTGGCTGCTGCTCTCAGGTGGCGAGGCTTCCAAGCACAGCCATCCACGTGCTTGTTAGTGCTGCCCCCTTTAGTCCAGTGGTAACCTTGTCTTTATCACTAAGATGCCCCCTCTGCTGCTTTAACAACCCCTCTGTGAATCAATCAAATCAGCCAAAATAATCCATTTGAACTGCTGGAGAGGTGATTGGCGTGTGAGAGGAGCTGGGGATATAGTTTGGGTGGTGGAATCTAAAGTAGGAGAGTGGCCATTTTAAGAAACTCATTTCTTATCTACCTCTACGGTTGTTAAAAACATCCTCCTCTCCTGTCCTGATACTGAGCCCCTCAAATCAATCACGCTTTGAGGACTTTATGAAAGCTTGACAGAGAAAAAAACGAAGTTTAAAAAACATTTGCAAAAGGCTGTAAATAGTGCTTCAGCATCGCAGTGTGTATGGTATGAAAGTTCCCAGGTGTTAAGTAAACCCAAATGAAGTGGAGGAACCAATAAAAGCAGCTTCAAAAGCTCCCCCTATAATCTTGTCAGTTTGGAAGGCCACCCACTAGCCGATGCAGGATTTTTCCACTGATTGATATCATTCATTTTCCCGGCTTCATAGAGTACCTCCAGTAAGTACACACCACAGCCCGGAGTCTTATTTTCTCCTTGCTTAAAGCACGTCATGTTATAAAAGTACGGGGTAAAGTGCCTTTAATGCATTAAGGTAATGCACTGTGGGCGCAGAAGAGTTTTTTTTACAAGAGCAGCGTCTAAAAGTTTGGATCGATCCCCCAGAAGTTGACGTGGAGAAGTCCAATAAACTTCCTCTGCGTCAGCTCTGCAGGTGTACCATTAACAAAATAGTTTACGGCTTTTAAGTATGTGTCACCGACAAAGATGGATGACAAAATCATTCTCCGTACAGTTTACAATGCATCAGCAATGTAGGTGTAATTAAGACACACAGATGGTATACTGTGCATGTACTGTATGTATCTCTGAGGCGTCTGCAGCATGCAACATCTTTTATGCTTGATGGATCTCAGGAAGCTTAATTTATGACGGTGTGTTTCTAGGACAGATATTAGATTTTGCTTTAAATCGAATATTCTGCAAGAATCTACATAAAGTCCTTCAATGTCTGCATCAGGTGCTATATATCCTGGTATTTTATTAGCTCCTCATCCAAGTATACATGCCTGCAGTAATAACTTTTACAGGCCAGATGATGGCCTTCATGTTAGATTACTTTGGATACACAATCCCGTAGGCAAACACCTTGTAAATACACTCTAACATAGACTCAGTCCGACACCGCTAATCACTGAAAACTGTCACCAAGGGCACATCAAGGTCACGAGTACACTCTCTCTGCTCGTATTGAGACTACTAAACTTTGTTACTTGAAGGCAGCACCGTTTCCCGCACAACCGTGATACATTACACGATTAAATGAACACATAACCAACACTTGCAGTTTTTCAGGTCGAAATCTGTGATAAGTACAGATGATGATCTATGTGCCTTGTTATTCTGTCACAGGACACTGAACATATTGGTTCAAAGATAACCAGTAGAGATTTGTCGTGTTAATTTGTGCACCACTCTTTTTCTACATAAATGCTCTATAAGCGCACAACTGATGGTCTAGTGATTGATAACGGGAGCAATGTTGAGGCAATAGAGCGAACAATCATTGATGTAAAAAATACATGTTTGAAAATATCAAATGCAAATGTTTTATACACATTCAACACATTTGTCATTATTTAAGGATAAATACATGTTTTGGTGAGAAACTCTGAACAAAGACATTATTACTTTTCCCAAGCAGGTCATGTTTTGTCTGAATTATTTTTTGGTTTGTTTGTTTTAGCGGTTTGCAGAATTGTGAATTGCATACTGTGATAATGATCCGGATGTATCAGATCTAAATACGTGTTTATGCAATATGGTGCTTAAGTGGAGACACGGCCTCTCTGAGTTTTATTGGTATTTATTGATTTATGTTTTTCAAGACAACTCAAAAGACAAGTTTTAACCCTGATCTATATAATATTTTAACTCACGTTGTGATGCATTCTTACATTGAAAAACCTACAATTACCGATCAGACAAAAGGTCACATACCCATCCACCCATCAACCCCCTCGGTCCTCATCCCGACTGTGGAGCTCCCACCTGGAGCTCTGTCAGCCCCCCTTCCAGGTACTAAGGAAGTTTTTTGGATGACTTCCTGCCTGATCAAAGCATCAGACCACCGTGGCCACACCATGACCTCTTGCCCCGCGTCCGCCCTCCCCCCCGCGGACACAAATACAAGGTTTGGCAGTGGCGAGGGTGACCTTTCTCTACTCCCTCAGATGAAGGAAGGCTGCAGAATTATTTTCTGCCTGTCATGCCCTTATCTGTGTCTGGCTGCTGTTTGTTTTAAATTA